ATTACTGGTCTATTTGTGAATTTAAAAATAACTTCAAATTAGCCTGTACTGGTAATTAGAAATCAAGCTTATCAGCTCTTTGAAATTAAGCTTTTTGAATGATTAAATCTACATATCTAGAATTGTCTATATCACGACTTAGCACTTTACTGCAGCTCGACCCAACACACACTGATGGTCTCACACTGATGACCATACGCTAGCAACATGGTTGCTATACTACGCCACAGTCTAATTGTCTTATACTTCAATGTTTAACAACTGGATATTTAGTAAATCTTTTTTTATTTTCTCTATATTGAATCAGAGCATTTGAGCAGTACAGAACGTAAATTTTACGTACCTTACAGCTCATATGCTCAAAGATGTAGCTTTGTACTTAGATCTGTAGAGCTTCTTATTAGTGAACATTTTTGCTTGTTTAGATATGAAAGTGGGAAGTATTTTGTTAGTGAGGAAATCAGATTACCTATTTATATAAGTAATGAGAATGATGAGATGAATAGGTACAGAGTATATTATACATTTAGATATTTCGTTTTGTCAGAACATGACGCAGAGGGCACCCAAACGCACACTTTATTGTGAAAGCAATAAAGCCAAAAGCCCAACAAAACCACAAAATTAATGCGGATGAATACTGGAGAAAAAATGGCTGCTTTAGAACCTGTTAATTCCGTGTTGATCAAAACGTGAGTGAAACGGCACGCTGCAGCTGCGTGTCAGCTAAGAAAATCGTCGGCGACCAAAAGGTCACGCAGCGACCCAAAGTTCTGGGGCACTCTCCGACTGAGAGACCGAATGACTCAAATGTCATCAATTAGACGCGCGGGCTCGTTTTGCTCGTCAGCTTGTTGAAGAAAAGCTCGCTTCAATCGGGTGCGTAGTTACAAAACGAGCTAAATGTGTCTAATTTGTAAGTAAGTACAAGCCCGTTTTCAAACCTGTAGACCGCTGTAAGCGCGACGCAGTGAATAAGCGCACAGTTAAAGGCTAGGTTTCATCTACTCTACACTGGATGCATTGGCGTAGAGCACTCAGTCTTTCTCATACTTCTATCTCTTACACACCCCTCACACCGCAGTGGCGTTAATGACCAATGCGCCGTTACGTGCCGAGGCAACCTGAATGGCTCAAGCCCACGTTTTTCAAATATCCCGCTTACAGCGGTCTACAGGTTTGAAAACGGGCTTGTACTTACTTTTGAACATAGAAACGTTCCATGATTATAGCATCCAAAACCAAACTGCGGAGAAAATCTGACATAACTTTTTTTGTAAAGTGGAAGACTACCACTATATTTGAAGCTATTACGCAGTAACAGCTTCCGGGTAGTACTTGAAAAGTTTGTTTTGCTCAAATTTTGCTCGCTTTGTACTTTTCAAATTTTAGTATCCTTAAATTCCCTTACCTTTTCTTACCATAGAAATTCCTTCCTCTTTTTGACCATTTAAAATCCCTTCCTTTAGTTTTCCCTCCCTCTTTTTGACCCTGGCCCCCCCATCGGAGGGGCTACTGTATAATGAGGGCACTGCCCCACCGCATAGTGCTCAGTACACTGCAGGCAACTGCACTGTACACTGCATGCAGTTCTGAAATGCAGATGTTGGCTTAGTTCACACAAATTTTGATCACTTTACGGCACAGAAGCACGCGGAAAAGTTTCTCCCACACAATTCACACAGAAAACATCGTCCAAATCAGTTCAAAACAAAAGACAGCATTCAATATTGAGCTAGTTTCTTTGAATTTTCCCAATTTTCCCATCAGGTATTTTAATAAATTAAATGCTGACTCAGCGGTGTACGTACATTCGAGGTGATTGCGTACATGCGCAATGCTTAGGCGGCACAGAAAAAAAGGTGTACGTGTAAGCATCGTAGAGGTGTACGTCACGTAGAGGTTCCCCCATATACTGTAGTCTACGGAGAGTTTCGGTAAAAAAATTTTTTTTACTCAAGTGAGAGGTGTAAGTATCTTGGGAGTGTACGTACCAGGAGGTTTTACTGTATCGCCCTTGGCTCACTGCATGAACGGTGAGTAGAAAAAGTACTACGCGCGTGAGTACTCTCGCGCCTACACCTGACCTTTAATGAAACATAATTTGCGTAAAGAATATAGTAATAAATTTTCACCAATTACAATAAGGAAACGGCGATATAGACAGACAGCTTTCTGGTAGTTGCAGGATATCAGCGAGCATGCAAGTTCCATAAAATCGCCAGATAATTTCCTCAACACGCCTTTGTTTGGTAATAACCATGAACTGGCCTGCGCGCCGATTGGTAATTTGCTACATCTTGACCACATATCGGCCTGGAATGGCGGTTTGCCGATCACGAATCCGGCGGCGACAGCTGGTAAGATAACATTAGACTTTGTATCGTTCTCATTATACATATTTAGACCACGGTTTGGATTTATTTGTAATTTGAAATTTTCATTACTTTTTTCCAGCAAGAGTTTAGACAGCATTCTAATCACTCTTCCACGTGCTTGGGCTGACCCCCAGGGCGTGGCTACAGCAACACTTGAATAACCTATTTTAACAGAACGTAAGGTATCAACTCCAAGAACAATCTACTTGGGCAAATTTTTATATACCGGATTACTGTATCTGTCTTCACAGCATAGCTGATTAAAATGATGGAGATTTCGAAGTAGATCTTGTGCGCGTCCCACATAACCTCCTCAAATAAAATAATGAATACTGTATGTTTTAAAGACTTTTCCTGCGATATCGCCCTATTCATGTTGAAGAAACTTCTGCATCACGGGCAACAAGCGCTTAATAACCGGGAGCAAAGGGTTCTACTGGGCATCGGAAATGGCTGCAAGAAAGCATCAAGGCGGTGCACAATGCAGCAAGCTAGAGACCATATGTGGATCGCGTTGAAGGAAAATCTCAACAAATGCTTAGAACATGCGAAAGCTGATAGATTTTCTAGTATGTCTGCTTATATTTCCACACCCACGCTCTTGAAAAAATTACATTTGCGTTTAGGAGACGAAGCGTTTGTCAAAGACCGTGACTTGCTTTACATTTTATGCGGTATACTTATACGCAAGCCATGCGGTCGCAAGTGGGCCTTGTCGTACCTTTCAAGCAAATTCCGACTGAAAAACTGGCATCAACTGCCTTTGGCGGATGTTTTACCCAGGTGGAAGACGAACAGACTTGAAAAGAAGAATAAAAAGCTTCGGAAAACAATTTGCTGGAAGTTTAATTCAAAGCAACGGTGTGAACGACCCTTGTGTGTCAAGCAACATTTGTGCATAAAATGTAACGGGCCACATCCGTGTGTCGACTGCGGAAAATCATAATGCAGTTTCTGTCTGCCAACCTCCGGAACATCTGCTAATTTTGAAAGTGACTTCGAATTCTGCTCATAAACCCATTTGAAGAATATCCGGCTACAGAATTATTAGGATTTTCATTTTTTTCGGCAAATTCTTGTTTTTATTTATTGCTTCTTACGCGGTAGCTAATTAAATTCAAGCAAACACAAAATATTACAAATACTCAAAGTTTCAGAATTTGATGACTCTTTCAGAGCAGAATTTTTTTTTGTTTAAGTTTTTATTCGCCTGGTTTACGCATCGGATGTTCTAAACAAAAGTAACAACCGCTTGGTAATTTAACTTCCAGGGTTGTAAACCAACAAGTTAGAGATCTGATCTCGATCCGATCTTATCTCGATTGTAGCCGGCATAACGGTTGACAGGTTCACGGCTCACAAATCAAACCTTTTGCCGGCAAAAAGGTTTATTTACTTTTTTGACGGGCAAATGGCTCATGGTTGGTAAACGTAAGTGTTACGAGAGCCGGTGCCTAGGCCTGTTGCAATATTGCAACACATACATATGTACTTTCTTCTTTATTTCGATTCATAATTATGACAGTATTAACCAGACACTACTGCTACAAAATTAGGTACTACCAAAACATCCAATACCATCATTAGCGTTATTGTTGCATGTTACTGTTGTGCCAAGTCGAAACCGCACTTTTTCGTACAGTGATTTAAATGCTAATCGTATACGACTCACTGTACGAAATAGTGCGGTTTCGACTTGGCACCACAACTGGGAGATATGGATGACTACGTAAATGTTGTTGTTGTTGCAGGCATGTTGTTTTACTTGTATCCCCAGTACCCCACCGTATTTCTAGCTGTCCCTCATTCAGTTTTGTGCTCTCAGCTCAGCGTTCGTGTGGAGATAACACAAACTTCGCCTGTAATCGTAAGACATTTTGCCGGGCAAGATGGCTCACGAACGTGAGCCATACTGCCCGGCACGCAGGCTCACAAAATTAATGTCAAACAACATATAAAACAAACAAACAAACAACATATCAAACAAAAACAACAACAAACAACAACTTTGTTTTTTCGCATTAATTTCAAACAGCATGCCTGACAGCCTTGCGACCGTACTGGACTGACAAAACACAAGCAGACGGTAATAGCGGCTTCTGATCTGCAGATGTTTAAAGGCGATTCTAATATGCAATTTCTGATACATTTATCCCCGTAAGCGAGTTCAGTAGTGTAGTCGAACATTTATCATTGGATTTACAAGGAATCTAGTTTCTTGACCACGAAAGAAAAATCTTAACACGATAAATACACAAATCTTTGGACAAAAAATCTTTATTTTATGACTTGTATGACATACAAAGTCGCCAAGAACTGGAGAACGGACTGTTTTTATATTTGAAAGACTATCTTAAAGATAAGTCGAAGTCATCGAATAATGCTTATCAATGGTTATTTGCTATAGACCTAGGCTATGGCCCTCGTAACACGTATATTTACCAACCGTGAGCCATTTTGCCGGTCAAAAGAGTTAACAAACCTTTCTGCCGGCAAAAAAGTTTGATTCGTGAGCCGTGAGCCTGTCAACCTTTCTGCCGGCTACACTTGATCTCTCTCGATGATCTAAACATTGCGACTGCTGATGGTTTTCTCCGAGCTAGGCATAGCTTGAGACCTCAAGGTGGCGTTTCTACCTACCTTATGGGGTATGTCTTAAAGTGACATTTTCACTTCGGTGGTATCATCTGTCATTCGTCGGGCAGACTTGCAGTGTAACACGGTGATCTTCGCTTCTCACTTCTCCATGAGCTGCCTTGTCCCTTCGATCTTCATTCCCAGCTACTTTACAGGAAAGTATAAGTGTATCTTGTGTATGTATTTCTCTGTTCGGCCACTCCATGTTTTGACACGAGAAAAGCTAAACCGCGCTCAAGCTCTATCTCCGACTCAGACTGCTCAAACTCTGACTCTCACTACTCAAAGTCTGACTCTGACTAAGAAAACTTAAGAAACCTAATAATGTCGTGTGAAGAGACTTCGTACGGTTTAGTGTAGGAGACTAACCACTTCCCTGCCACGACTCAATCGGTAGAGCAAACTCTTAAATCAACTGTTACAGTAGAAACTGGAGGAGACTATCAGGAACACGAGGGATCTGGAATCCCTAAGCGATTGTGCTGGATACTCCTAACTTCCGGTCGATACACATGCGGGTCGAACGAAGTACGAGCATACCGTGTTTACCACGCTATAATCCGATGCAAATTACGAACGTCGATATCCACAGAAAATGCTTTACTCCGCTAACTCACAATCATATGCTCAACACAGGAAAGTTAAAAGCAAGTAGTCTCGAAATCTGGAATCCAAGACTGCTACCGATATTAGAGACGACATGAGAATTTATAGACTAGAAGAAGTAAACATCAAATACACCGCTAAGCCATAACTGAGCAACGAATCACAGAACTGATTAACTGATATCCGTGTTGCAGGTAAAGGCGGACAGTCAGTGGATGTACGGTGGAATCCTCGTACGTACTCCTCTCCACACGTCACCCCCACAAACGGTTTTTTGCTCCCGCAAACGTAAACAAATCCATCCAGTCCATCCCGCTGGATTGTGTAGCACTCCATCCTCCATCCTGATCCTCTTTCCCATCCTGCACAATCCACGCATGTCCATCCGATGCCCAATGACTGTACGCCTGATCCGATTAATGTTAGCGTAGGATCCTTAGCGTTGGCGGCATCCGGAAGTCCATGGGATTGGCGAGGTGGAGGTCCAGGATCCAGGGAGGCTAAATTCTACCACTAACTACCAGTACTGTGCCGTGTAGTCGTGATGTTTCTCTGTGATGTAGTGACTGGCACAAGGCTTTATTTACGCATTTACATGTACTGAAATACTCAGTGTATAGATTGGTTTATAAAACGCAATGAACAAAAACGATAACTTCCGCTGCTTTTAATTATTAAGCAAAATTCCGTAAAGATGCCATAACGGAGACGCAGAAAATCTGGCATACATCAAGTTCAATCCGAAAATTATACTACAGATTTGTGTACAAAATAAAACTTAAAAAGCCAACGAATACAAAACGTCACTGCACAAAACATTATTCCTTACGCGGATAATTCTGCAGACTAATAATGGAAACGGACTTCGGCTGCACATCTTCTTTATCTTCGTCAACGTCCATCGGAATAACTGGGCGATACGGAATCTCTTCGGACGGAGCTCGAACCACGAGTTCAGCTACTGGTTTTTCAGGTTCTTCCTGCTGATCTGGTTCAGACGGCTCTTTCTCGTACTGCTCATACAATCCTTCGGACCACTTATCGTATCCATCCACATCGAAGGTATCAGGAGCAGACCACGGTTCGTCAGGGTTCTTCTTAATCAATCTGCCCGATGAGTTGTTCGTCAAATGCAATTTCACCGATCGAATCCATCGCTGCTTATCCTCATCATCCCCAATCACATCGAGAATCGAACCGACTTGTTCTTCAAGAACATACTGTCTATCCCATTCCTCATTCTGACGGCGAACTTCTTCCGTGTCTTCCATCGACTGAATATAGACCATTGAAGCAGCTGACATCTGCTCACGTTCTGCCTTAGCACGGTCATACGCTTCTAATGCTTCAATGCCTAAACGTCTCGCTTGACCTGTGATAATACGACGCGGCATAATGAAAAGTATAAATGAAAACCTGAGGATACTGAAAAATGAAAGATAAAATATGTACAATCCGCACTGTGGAATAATACGGAATAAGAACTGAAAGTTCTCCACTTGTTGAATCTAACTATGCGTTGTATACAGTGTCTGTACAATTTTACGCGAACTGCCATATGGGAGGAGAGTACACCGGAAGTGCCGTTAATTCCGATTTTATTCTTTTTATTTTCGAAGTTGTTTCCGCATATTACTCATAATTTAATAGCAATTTATTACCACACAGTAATCCCAAACGTTTCAGGTTCTGATTAAATTAGTACGATTAATACAATTTAATTAACACTGGACAGTCGTCCTCATTTCACCGCTAACAAACAGTCCAAATGAATTTTATTAATAATTTTAATTTAAACAGAAAATGGCTCATCATCGATGTAGAATTTACGCGGCTTGCTCTCCGAGCTACTGGATTTTGATCCAGATTCAGACTCTTTTAACGGGGATAACTGCTGCTGATGGAAGGTAGCGTATCCTTTCACAATCGGTGGTGCTGAGTATGGCTCCACATGTTCATCCTGAGCTTTGCGCTTCTGACCGACGATTTCTCCTCCAAACAGCAATGGTGCGATTTTCGACCAACGCTGAGCACTCACATTCTGGCGAATGAAGGTTTTCGAAGCCAGACGATCTTTAGGCTGTACTGTCTCCACTAGATCCATGGCTTTACTAATGAGCTGAGCGGCACGAACCATCTGATGACTGGGTTCGTCTTTCTGCGCGTAAGTGTATCCAAGTTCCGGTGCAGAAAACACTGAGGATGTCGACAGTGTTCGTTCCGGCAGCGGTGGCGAACCAAACTGTGTAGAGGCTAGAGATCCTCGCCGATATGCATGTCCGATAACAGGAATCTTATTGATGGATTCCAGGGATACTGCTGCACGAGCACTAGCTGCACGCTTCTCTTCAATATCTGCTGTATAACGCTGAAAGAACGAAACAGATCGCTTGCGTTGGGCCATCTCACAATATCACACTCACACTAGAGCAAATAGCTAAAAATTAATCCGTGTAATTTAAAACTGCACTGACTACTGTTCAGACTGTCAACTCTGGTCACGGAATTAAAATTACTGCGAAGTGAAAAATTTATAAGTTCAATTGCGGATACGGCGTACAAGTGTATTGTGTTGCACTGCGAGGTGCGCGCTATACTATTACAACGTAACTGTGATTAGTGTGCGAGTGTACTGTGCGTACTCTTTATTTCCGGTTTAACTGATTTTATTTCGAGTTTATTTCTTATTTCCTACTGATTACAAACGAACCAGAACTGCACGACTTTTCTCGTTTTTATTATTTTTTTGGATTTTACATTTCATTATTTTAGGGTCCCTGAGGGTTGCGTACGATCAATCCTTCACTGGGACGACGGTCTAATCCGAATTTGTCCCATTTCCGTTAACAACAAACACACAAAACACGAAAGAAACAGTTCAGTGGCCTTGAAAATGACACGCCACATACCAGTAAAAATCCAAAACAGCAAAATTGAAAAGAGCAACAACATCTAGGTCAGGTCAAGTAATATCACAGAACAACAACAAGATCAAAAATGTCTGCCGATGACCAGTAATAATCAACAAAAAATAAATGAAAAATTTACCATATCACTTGCTGCTGCTTGGTGCCAAGGAAAACAATCCTGTCTGTCCCACGCTCGACGAGGCTGAAACAGCGTCCAGACGGCGACTGACTCTTCGGCCATCCTACGGCGCTTTTCCATCTCTGCTTCGCGGTGTTTCTGTTGCAGTAACTCCTGATCCGCGACGAAGTTCGGTAAAAATCATGCGACGGTTTTCCGATCCTATCGCGCGATGCTGAGTGGTCACGCACTGGTACTGCTGCTGGCGACACAAACTGTTCTACACCCGGTGGCAATCCTGGATGCGACGGTAACGGGACAGGCTGCACACTCACTGGGGCTACTGCAGGCACAACAACAGAAGCGACAGGCAAAAGGTCACTTAAGCCACTATTCGCTCCTGGTGATGCCGATCAGCATGAGAAGCAACGGGGCCAGGCGGAACCACAGGTCCATTTTTCGGGTTTTCAGCTGGTGGAGCCGGCGGCGCAGGTTGCGCGGCATCGACGTCCATAGGGACGCCGGGATCCGCCACGCGCTGAGGTGGATCATCATGTCCAATAACAATCTGATTAGGTGGCGGCTGCCCCAGGGGTCTGCCTCCACGAATCCAAGCTGGTGGGCCACGACGGAGATTGTCGCCTCCGTGGCCTCGCATATGTTGACCGCGACGCGACTGAAATCTTCCACGGAAACCGCCACGGTGGTACCCACTACGGTATCCATGCTGTTGGTGCTGTTGGGAGGATTGGAAAACGGCATCTACGAGCTTTTCAAAAGCTCGAATCGGATCAGTCGGCGGCATCACTCCGCATAACACACAACAAAAACGATGACCTTTTGCTCACACAACAAGAAACACAAAAAGTTACACCGGGAACTGAAAGAACTTGCAACACGCCGGTGCGGCGCTGAGAAAGTGCAAATTCAAATGAGACAGCACTGTGCCGATTAACTCTGCAGGTGTGCGCTTTTGTACTGCTAATTTACCGATTTGCATAGCTACTGGTACGTGTGGAAACTTCCCGACAATTCTGACCAATCACAGCTCTCGGTTACAGCTCTTTTAATTCTCTTAAATTCCGTTACGTCATCAGTGGCTGCATACAGATTCACTCTTCCGATAAAAACTGTTAGACTAGGCACGTTCACAAAAGACTACAGATCATCAGCCAAAAGGCGATTTACCGATCAGATAAAATGCAAATTGAAGACGTCCAAAACTACAGATCCAAACTGCGAGATTGTGAACAACACGGAAGTTTTCAAGATAGCGAAAACTCCGCAACAACGATAGGCGTATGATGAACAACAAAAGAAGCACAACGTAACAACGATTAAACTGCTCAGATTACTTAGCTTTAATAAAAATGGATGGCACAAACGGATTCTGCGGAAACATGCCCTTGTTATCTAGAATAGTGCTCGGTGGTGGCGTTGGTTGACCGTATTCCAACTCCAATGAGCGTGGTTCTTCTGCTTCTTGTGGGGCCATGTCCACTGCCACTACGTTAGCAATTCCGCTGGAGCTGGATCAGGTACAGCTTCCTTAACAGCTGGAATTTCTTCTTCCGCTTGCTCGACGATTTTCAGCGGCTGCTGTTCTTCCGTTTCCGACTGTTCGTCAGCTTCCTGGACTGTTGATTCGGCACTCTCTGGCTGTTCCGTAATATCAGCCGTTTCATCAACATTATCCGATTCATCCGCATTGAGTACCGCGACTAACTCGTCAAAGGTCGCATTTTCCATGGCGATTTCCGCTGCCGTCTTCTTAGGGACGATAGGAGGGTGCTCGAAATCTGGCATTGACGTATCGTCATCATCAGAATAAGTTATGAGCGCATCCGCGAAAATCTCGCGCTCATTTTCAGTATCCGTTCCCGTTTCATGGTCTTTTTCTTCTTCCAGGCTGACGAGAGTAGCAGCAGCTGGCTCTGGCTGGTACATGCTGACAGCTGTATTGGCTGGCTGTTCACCGTTGACTTTTCCGTCTTCAGCCTCCATCTCGTCGTGCTTTCGCTTAATACTTCCGATAAGGTTGAAGCGCACTTTCCGCTCTGCTTGAACTTGTTGCACACGGTGCCATTCTGCCTTTGTCTCCACACTCATTTCCGATGCAGTACTGTTGTCCGTAGTACTGCCGCTCTCGCGTTCGGTGTTATCTTCCGTATCGGACTTGTCACTGTCAGTTTCACTGCTTGATTCTCCCGTATTTCCGCTATCCGATTCAGCAGCTTTTTCTACGGCCGCTTTAATATCCGCTTGCTTTTCGGATAAATCTTTAAGAATACAAGCAAAACCAGGATGTACATAAATATACTGCCGTCGTAATTCCCAACATAATTCACGCGATAATTTGTCAGTCCATTTCGTAAGATCGTAGCGGTGTATGAGTTTCCCCGAATAAAATAAAAACTTCGAAAGCCAGAGCCGTGAATAATACTCACCATCCTTGTCAATGCCAGGGTGATGGGCTTCTGTGATAGCTGCTTCATCGAATTCTTTAGCAACGGCTAAATCCGGAAATTTCTGAATGACCGTGTCAACTGATGACGGCTCCGTTTCGGAATCGACTCGTCCCAGACCCACAGCGTTCAATTGTGGTTGACGGTTGCGTCGAATCGGACGCTCTGGAACTCCTGTGCGTCGTGCAAAACCAGGACGCATCGGACGCACTGCTGGCTGCGGCGGTGTAACTGCAGAATGACACATTTTGATGGTTTTTTAACTGAGTGTGTCATGTTGTACAATAAAGTAGGTATTAAACCTTATTTCAAATTCTACCATAATATCCAAATTTATAACCATCGCGGGCTGCCATGTCGTGTGAAATTGAAACAAATTATGCGGTTAAAATCATTTATAAATCGACTAGTTTACACGATACCTTTCATTGAAAACTGTCGAAAACTGCGATAAGGTTTTTAAATAATAATGTCTGTCGACAGACACACTTGCCGTACCTGCGTCATCTTCGCCCTCCGATTCACTGCTCGTTTCCGACAGGCCGAAGGCACCAACCAACCGAATGCGAGGATTCACCTTCGCTGGCGGCGTGCTGCTATTCGAAGACGAAGACGACGGCTGGGCATTACGCCAGTGCGTCTGTTCCGGCGTCTGATTGAAGATCCCGCCGCGCGCATTGCCACGAACCAAGGCACTCCGTTCTGCAGTATCGGCCGATGATGGCTGGTTATCCACCGCATTTGCTGCTGCATTCTGTGGGCCAAAAGATGATGGGCCAGCATGCGATCTGGTCACTCTGCCCGCCGACAAATCCGCTGAAGATCCCTGACGATATCCGAAAGGATGATCGTCATTGCGTACATGAATACCTTGCGCCCGCTGCTGTCTAGTTGGAATAAACGGCGGCAAAGTAGGGGGCTCTTCTGGAAGCTCAGGAGATGCTCGTCGCGACATAATAAACTTAAAAGATGGGGGTAAACAACCCATAAAATTAAAACATGTATTTGCCGATGCACAGAATTGTACTGATGGCACTTTGCGCAATGAAGAACTCGGAAGAAATTTGAAGTTCTGAATTTCCGACCGGCGTGCTCTTCAATACTGAACTGATTGAATTGAACGGTGTTGCCACCAATGGGCGGTTGTCCGATAACAGGCACTCGTTCCCTGTTACTAAATTCCACGATTATTATTTACTGGGACTTCTCCCCGGTAGTTTTTATGGATGAAAAAGTTCCTTTTATAGAAATTTATTAAATTTTTACCATTTGAAAGATGGAAACAAGAATTAAGGGATTTCCTGACCAGTTAAAGGCGGGTACTCTGCAAGGCGTACAGAGGGTGGGATACAATCAGTATCTCACTGTAACTTGTATGCCTGTGCGGTTGACACGCGACAGCTTACCGAACCGAAAATATTGCCAAATTCGAAATTTTAAATCTGGTTCTTCGAATTAGCTATAGAATTTCATCCGCTTGTGTTTTTGTCTCCGTCTTGTTTCTTGTGCTATCTGTTTGTCGTGGTCTGTACTTTCTGCGTTCCTATACATTTTAAGCAATGTACTGCTTAGATCATCCTGCGCGCGGCGATCAAATGGGTACTCGCCGTCTTCGCGGGGATATAGAAGCGATGCTACGAAAGCCATTGGAGTTCCAAGAAACTACTAAAGCTCGACGTTATGATGCGTTAAAGGCCGCTGTACAAGTGCGCCTTCTGGATGCCTTCCTCAAGAACGAAATGGTCGACATAGTCAGAATGGAAGATTTCCTCAGTTCCTTACATGACGAGTTTATTCCTTCCCGCGTTAAGCTGTATCTTGAGGAAGCGATTCTCACTGGCTTCTTGCTGAAGCAACTGAATCATGACGGCCGTTTCATCTTGAATGAAGCTGAGCGCCTACGAAGTCGACGCTCCTGTCTCACTGTGGATCAACCATACAAGCTGCGGATGGCTATTTCTGGTATTCTATTGGAAGCTGGGTACGGTCTGAATCGTCTGGAACTTCTGGTTTGGCTACGAACGACGTACGCCGTAAAGATCGAACATTTCGGTCTAGAGTTTCGACGAGCTGTATTGATGCTCATCCGTCAAGGCCAATTGCAAACTGCTAACGGAACTCTCTTCATTCATCCCTGTGTGGATGTGAAAATGAAAAGTACTGGAGCTGGAGAACTGTCCACAGAATTCGGCCGCACTCTGAGTAAGTCTTAGAATTTTAATTTTAATTATTCAGCTCTGCTATAATTTTATTAATGCATATTTTCAACACATTTTCGCCACCAGTAATTAATTTGTTTTTTTTCTTCTTGCAGATATCGATATGAAACCGCATTCTATCGATTGTCCTCGTGGGTGCAAGGGTTTCGGTGATCTATCCGTCGCTGATATCTGGTCTACTGCTAAAGATGGTCCCGGGATTTTGAGGAGCACTGGAGGTGATCAGACGGACAACTTTGGCCCTTCAGCGAGCTGTTCTCTCCATACTATGCCCGTACCGCTGAATTTCAAGTATTCCACGCCGGGTCGCAAATCTGCTAAGGCTCGGCAGACTGCTCGCGCCCGTACTGAAGTGTCTTCATTCAGTGAACTCGTTAAGAAAGACGCAATTGAAACTGGTAAGGTTTTAAATGCCATTGCGGATTCGTTACGGACCAATCTAAAACGGGCTGGACAAAGCGTGAACAATTTGAAGCGTCGGATGAATGAAGAGCAGACCGGAAAAACCGCGAAATCTGCTAGATCCTTTCCGTAATTGGCTTCTATTCTCTGTTCGTTCTGTTTTCTGATTAATACTGCGTTTTGCTGGTTATTTTCAATTAACTGTACAGGATGTTCATTATTCTGGGTGTTCGACCTTATTTTACTTATACTCGTGCGAATAATTTTAACACTGGAAATTGTTATCCATTTATTCACTCGATAATTCTGTTTTACGGCCGATGTATTTCTCTGATAAAACCGTGATATTAATTGGCCATAGTTTCCGCTCAATATGCTTCGTGATTTATTCAGCATAATCCACCACACTGTTTCCGGAATTTATAGATCGGATTAAAAATTAGTTCATCACCACAAAAACTCAAAAATAAATTTTTCTACTCAATTTTCAGCACTTTATTTGCAAAATTTCTATCCGCATATGGGTTGGATACTGCAACCTGGGAACGGCTGGAGAAATCTACTACGACTGGGCCACTGCGGCATTCACATAATTATCGCTTCCAGAATTCACCATAACTGTTCATTCAAATATTCGAACCATAAAAATAATAAAAGGGAAAGGATGTTTTACAAAATTCTTGCCAGCCTTGTGTTTCGAACTAGGGACTCTGGGATCCGACGAATGGTTACGTGTACCCATCGCCACTTCGGCATTTCACATTTTTAAACTGTTAATTATTATCAGTGTAAGGATCAACTTAATATTTCCAATTTAAAATTTCGTAAAAAGGAAATATTATTTACAAAATACTTTTCTTCACTGGGTATTGAACCTGAGGACCATAGATTGACTTGCGTTTAGCGTGTACACTGGGCCATCTGAAATCTCCATATTTTAGGGTGCATAACAGTATCCCCGTAAGTATAGTTGTTTTTACAGTGTTACTGTATATAAAAATGCGCAAAAATAAGTTTTTATTCCCAAAATATTCTACTTCAGTGGGATTCGAACTGTAGAAGCACTGCAAGCTGGTCGTCATTATTACAGCTGAACTACCATGTATTTCGTAGTTTTTTAATAACTAATCTGACCATCGTACGGGCGCCAAATCGTGTAAAGTTAGGTGCTATATCACCATTTCGTATGGTGACTGTGTATTTTATAGCGCCTCTGCGCAATTGGTGTGCTAATCACATGGCAGTCAGACTTTATTTCGTAACCCTCCTCACTGGGAGCTTGCATGTTACGAGGTCCTAATATTTTACTACAAGTCACGCACTGGCGACTCCGTAAATTTTTAATATATTCGCACATCGTCCAATATTACAAGACTCTGATAAAATTCTAATAGAAGCGCAATCGTCATATTAATACAGTCCTTCTGAATAAAATTCCGATAAAATTTGTACACAGAGCAACAACTGAATGCGAGCACACCAGAATGCTCTTTTCTCGGGACTAAAGTAATAAACATGACTTAATAACTGTTAAGAGTTAATAACCCATAAACACAAGAATGCTGTGAAATAAAATAAAATGAAATTCATCCAAGGGATATTTACCAGCCCTTTAGTCAAAACCAAATCCCCGCGGATACGCATATTCACAATTGGACCTCGTCCACTCAGAATCTTATCGTAATGTTCCTGTTGCTGGCGTCGCCACATACGCATAAATTTGTCGTAGGTGAGTTGCTGAATCTGCTCCGGAGTCATGCGACTGGTGTACTTTACATGCCAGTCCGGGAGAGGAAGATCCTTCGGTTTCGGTTTGGGTGCGGTGTAGTAATTTCCGCCACGCTGCTCGGCCAATCGCAGACGTAATTGTTCTGCTGCCAATCTCTGTCGCTCTGGCTGACGAGGCTTGTCCTCATCCGGTTCCTCTTCACGTTTGCGGAACTCTTCTTCTTCCAACAGATGCTGTTGAAGAATCAAGACGCGCTTCGGCACTGCGCCAACAATGCTGACGGAGAACTCGTTGGGCACATTGATGCTGCTTGACGCTGTTTCGCTGCCACTTGCCTTTTGCTCTTCTGGTAGGGCTTGCTCTTTCTGCCCGCCAACTTCTTCGTCCGAAAATTGTAGAAGATCTCCCACATCGGAGATCTGTACAGGAACAGGCTCATACGGTTCCTTCCAACAATGTTCTGCATACAGTTCAGGAGCTTCTCGTATCTTGTGCAGTTCTGGTTCACGGAGTGTTTTCTGCATCGCCAGGGGTTTGATCGTCTCTGGCACTTTCTCGTCTCTGGCTGTTTCACGCGACATATTTGCCTCAAAATCAATACACACTATCTTGAAGACCTGAGAACAGCTCTGCGCGTAAAAGTTTACGATCAGAATTTTAGTACTTAAAGGTTGAACTTTTGGAGAAAACACTGAACTGCGAGCACGTGCTCAATAGAAATGTCAACATGGGCTCATAACGCCCCTATATCGTAGTTCAACTCGGCACACTCATGATCTTCCTTTCACTATTTCTTTTCCACATTTCACTGATCTCTCCTTCCTTTTGATAAATTAATATCAAAAATATGATGTTTTAATTTATTTTAGCGTTTGACCAGCGGGAACAACACTATTCGCTCTATTATAAGTGTATTAGATCCTGGGAATGCTTTTACTGCTGCTGCCCCCTTCGATATGGTTCGCCACGCTACACAACTAACTTCCGGTTGTCCTTTGGAGGTTCTCTCCTATCTTCCTGTATTGTTATTTCTTCTTCGGAAGTGTACCAGCTAACTAAACGAAGCGTTCACATCCTTTTAGACTCTGACCGGAGGGACAAAACTACGACCTTATCGCCCTGTGTTCATTTCCGGTTAGTATTATACTATGGCATTCTGCACCTGTGATTGTAGTGCTCGGAGGTGCCTTATTTTACTAATTTGTCAGTCGTTCTATTTTGGAGGTTACCCAGGAACTTCCTCATACCATTTCACGATTTTATAATGCTTAGTTTAGGTGGTGATGTTTTCCTGTGGGTTGCGGCTAGGAGCGTCCCACTGGGATGTATTCAGAACATTACCGGAAATTACCAACCGCTATCGTACTGCAGTGTCTGTGCGGATTGCAGTCTGCTGTACGTTTAACATTACGCTTACGACAGAGTGAGTAAAAATGTTTATTTCCGATATACGGCCGTCAATTTACACCGTAAAATTCCAATTTTGATTTTAATTCGAATTTTCTCATAACAATTCACGTGCGCTTTGTGCTCCGCGAAATCACTTAAAACAACTGAAAATCGTAATTTATCACAACCAAATTATCATTACGTTTACACAACTAA